ATACCGACCTGACCTCCTAGGTCAGCTGGTGAGAGCAGCTCAGGAACTTAATGGAAGAAAAAAGTACAATTTGAAAAGTTTCACCTTTATTATTTTTATTTTTTACAAAAGAAATACATATGCAAAACAATAAAAACTTCAGCAAGATATAAAGGGAAAGCGGCCGAAACCGGTTTGGCTCAGTGGCTAGAGCGTCGGCTTGCGGACTGAAGGGTCCCAGGTTTGATTCCAGTCAAGGGCATGTACCTGGGTTGCGGGCACATCCCCAGTGGGAGATGTGCAGGAGGCAGCTAATCGATGTTTCTCTCTCATCGATGTTTCTAACTCTATCTCTCTCCCTTCCTCTCTGTGAAAAATCAATAAAATATATAAAAAAAAATAAAAAATAAAGGGAAAGCGAACGTCTCATAAAGCCCACGGCCACCGCTGCCCTCGGGGCGTTAATCCAAGGTCAGAACAGGCCGTGGGGACAACAGTCCGGAGGAAAGTGGAGTCACGTGGCCTGAGCAGCGGCGCTCCGGGTACCTGTTTGGTGCCACGTCTGTCGCCGGCAGCTTTAGCGCGCTCTGCTCACCAGGCCTGACTAGCATGGCCGGTCCACTGACCAAACACACACAATGCTCCCGTAGCAGCCTGGGTAAAAATTTAAAAGTCTGGAGGCCCTGAGAAATATTGGTCACGTGTAGAGAATATTTTGAAGAAAAAAAAAGTGTTTGCTAGCCCTGCCCTACAGCACCCATGGCACTCAGGGTTCCGCGGAGCCACGCCCAGGCGGTGCCCGCTCTCCCACCGGCTTCACGTCGGGAAGGAGGGTGCACATGCCCTGGCGTGGGCAGCACCGGGTGCCAGAATGCCAGACCTGCCCCCGTTTCTAGCAGGACCTCTGACCCTTCATTTCTCTTTCCAGCCGCTGCAGTCACTGTGCCCATCAGGCGCTCTCGTCGCTGCTATCGAAACGCAGGTGGTAGAGCACAGCCTTTCCCGGCTGCTGGGACTGCGGGGCCTGGGGGCTTTCAGGGTTGAGGTCGCTGAACCAGCTCATTTGGGGGTCCCCCTGGGAGCTGTCAGAACGCTGGCTGCTGTCCTGGGGAGAGTGCCCACTGAGCTGCGGGAGGGCCCGGGGTGCTGCCTGCGTCGTCCTGGGTCTGAGTGCCCCTCCCTGAGCAGGCTGTGAGGGGTTCCGTCCCTGGAGCCCCCAACACAGGGGCTGAGCACGGGGCTCCTGCTGCTCCGGGGGGGACCCCTGTGAGCCAGGACCGGGAGGCTGGGGGCACTTGGAACTGAAAGCACAGGCTGTGCTTCGGGGTTGCGCTTGCCGCCTGGTGGGGGGCCTGCCCCGGCGGGTGCTCCTGGGCGGCCGGCCTCTCCGCCTGTGTTCTCCCGTCACCAGCTGCTGCTCACAGGGGTCACGTGAAAACACGCCTTTGGTCTGACGTTTTGGGCTGGTCACAAAGTTGTTTCCGTCCAGGGACAGAAGCCGCAAGGCTCCTTGGGCAACCAGCTTCCTGCCGCCATAGTTCTCCGCGCTCGTCTTAGGGAGAAGCTGGCTCTTGGGGTTCGTCTGTACGGCCTTGTCCCGGACCCCCCTGCTTCTCTTCCCTTCTCCAACGGCCTCTTCTGGGAGGGCTGCCCTCTTGGCTCCCTCACCCCAGACATCAAACTCCCCGGGCCGCAGGGCGCCCACCCTCAGATCCCGCGCTGGGAGGGCCTGGGCCTGGGCCCGCGGGGGCGAGGTCTGGGAAGTGCTGTCTCTCACGTGCGTGGGGCCCCGCGGCCCCTCGATGAAGCGCTTCAGCTCTGCGAGGGCGCCGCGCACGTCGAGCTGGGCCAGCTGCTCACACAGCTGCTGGACGTCCTTGCTCTGCTGCGCAGCCACCGCTTCAAGGTGCTTCAGGCCGGACTTCACTTCTGCGATCTCCGCTTGTCTCTGGGCAAGGCAGCGAGAAAGAAGAGCGTTACCGACCGCGTGACGCCGAGCACAGCGAAAGGGGCCGCCCCGGACCACAGCCCCGGCCGCACCGGCTGGAGGATCCTGGGGAAGGAAGCCGGCCCTCCGCTGGCCGGGACCCCAGGGCCGGTGCTGCGCTGGCCTCTGTTCTGGCTGACAGTTTGCAGCATTAACGCTGTCTCTGGCCTCAGTGACAGTCAGCAGCGCACCGAGGAAAGGAGCTGGGCCTGTACTTACCGCTTGGAACTCCCTCCGCAGCTCCAGGACCGCCTGCTCCACGCGGCCTTTGTCCTGCGCTGTTTCCAACACCAGGTCCCTCTGGGCCCGCGCAGTTTCTTGCACTAAATACAGAACAACGACAATTCGCCTTAGGAAGATGGTGCCCCGGCCACAGTGGTGGAGAGGCAGGAGGGAGGCTGGCCTGGCCCGGGCCTGCTCTGCCAGCAGATCAGCCGGGTGAGGCGAGGACGCCAGAGCAGGATGCTTCCTCCGCTGTCCTCCTCCCTCCCTCAGGACAGCCGGGCCATGGCACGCTCACCCTCAGCGCCTGCTGGGGCCCCTCAAACCTGTAGCCCAGATAACAGCTCCTTCTTGGCCCACCGGCTGGGCCCTGTCACCAGAGGGATCTTTCTAGCAGGCAGGTATGGTCATGCCCTCTCTGAAACCTTCCCTGAAACTTTCAATGGCACCCCACTGCCCCCCTTTACATTGGCTCCTCCCTCCCCACAGTCTCCCTGCATCTCTGGGCAGTTTCCTAAGCGGCCTTTCCCCTCTGGCCTGTGCCACTCCTCCCTCAGCCTGGAGCACTTCTGCCTCCATCCCTGTCACTCTCCCCCTCGCTCAACGCTCAACCACCACCGTCCCCTGGGCTTCCGCCCATTCCTGTTCTTCCTTCTGCTCTCACTGTCTCCTCTAGGGAAACGTCCTTTCCTGCCTGGCGCGGGCGTCCCTCTCTGCTGGTGGCACCGTGTGCTCTGCCATCACTCCTCACCCTCCACTCATCCCCCATTCGCTTGGCTCTGGTGAACAGGGCGCTGGCTGCTCAGGACTGAGCGTGGCCCCCTCTTTTGCATATGGGACTCACGTGTATTTATTTAATAAACGTTGCTGCAATCAGTCATTGCCATTGTCTTGCTAGACGGCTGTCACGTGAGGTTGCTCTCACATTTAGTCAACACACACGGGAAACAGAGAAGGGCCATCAGGCTGACGAGCCCTAAAACCCGGGTCTGAAGAAGAATCAGCCTGAGCTCCAAACGGCAATAAACAAGCCAACAGCCCAGAGCGCGCACAGGCCTCCACCGGCTGTGGCCACATGGGAGGGGCCCCTGCTCTGGAAAAATAAGGGGAGCAGGACGGATGGAGACCAGAGGGAAAAGAGGAGCTGGGCCTGCACAGACTGGGAAGGTCTCCAGGCACCGGAGGCAGCCAGTACCCGGATCTGAGGCAAAAGGAAGAGCTTATTGGACGAGGAATAGACAAGCCGGCGTGATGTTGGGAAAAAATCGTGTTCTGTGTGTTTTACCACAATAAGAACGTAAGAGATTTTTAGTTAAAGTCCATGTGCCAGCCAGTTAGAAAAAGGATGTTTACTTATATTTCCGGTACTGGATTCCTGTTCCTAAACGCAATTAGTCAAATAGTTTCCCAGACACCGTGCAGGTGTTTGTAGTAGAAGGCAAGCCTCGTTATCTGGCCCCGGATGGGCTCCTGAATGGCAACGTTCCTTACAGCAGCCAGGACTGCAGCGCGGAAGCGGAGTGTGGACGGCAAGCAAGTGTTCGCGTCGCGTCAGTGCTCAGACACAGCCGTGTCCCACGTGTTCTCTCCTTGTCCCCGGAAACACGCCTTCCTTACAGGAGCTTTTTTTGGTATTAAGCTCGTTACTGTCAAAGTCTTCTTTTTTTAAAAAAAAAGTTTCTGAAAAATGACTTAAAACCATTGTAGTGTGAGACTGAGAGAAAGGGTCACACGGCTGCCACGCGGACCCTGGCTCCGCCTCCTGGACTCACATCACGGGCAGCTTCCAGCATGTTGTCACTCCGAATGCGGAGCCACAGAGGCAGATCGTGTCTGTGTCCCTGTCCTCTGCCAGGGGACTCGCTTCATTTCTGCTTTGGCTCCAAACAGCAGATATTTTTAACTTTTTTGTAAAAACGCCACTTTACATCCACTCCATGTTCCGGCCAACCTGCCGCCCCCAGGGAAGAGGGTGTGCAGGCATTTGCTGCTATTGAGGGGCCTGAGGAAGGCCCCTGAGAGGAGGCTGGGCTCTGATGCTTTTCCGCTGTGACCAGCGACTCCTGTCTCTGGTCTTGCTTTCCCTGCTGTGCTGGGAGCGGAGCAAGGGTCTGGGGGCCCACGTGTAAAGGAGATTCCTCAGTCCCCCCTTTTCCAAGCTTCTCTTCCCACTGTTTACAAGATGGTCCTGGTTTCATTTAACAAGGAGCAAACATTTCCACTCCAACATGGTTCACATAGATGGGCCTCATTCTTCTTAATTACACGTGCCTTGCTGAGAAAGGCATTTCTCTAAAATTATAAAAATGCTGCCATGTTTTCTTATAGTTCTCTTTATGATTATATTAATACATCTATTCATATGAAATTAGTTTTGATATAACAGTTATCTATTTTCCAAAATTAGATATTTTCTAATTTTTTTATAGTGGCTCCTTTTTATTATCCTAATGATCATATACATATATTTTTTAATTTTAATTTTTTTAATCCTCACCTGAGGATATTTTTCCATTGATTTTTTGAGAGAGTGGAAGCGAGAGGGAAAGACAGAGAGAAATGTCAATGTGAGAGAAACACATCGATTGGTTGCCTCCTACACGAGCCCAGACCAGGGCCCGGGCTGGGGAGGAGCCTGCAATCCAGGTACATGCCCTTGACTGAGAATCGAAGGCGGGCCAACGTGCTAACCACTGACCCCACCGGCCAGGGCAGAAACTCATTTCATTGCTCAGGTCCTTGGTGTCCTTAGAGGAAGAACAAGAAGAGTGCGATTAAATGGCTTTGAGTAATCCTTCTGGTTGAACAGACGGACGGTGACGGGAAAGACCTCCTGACCTGTGAAGGCACCAGTCACATGGCGACAGAGCGCGCGTTCCCGCAGGAACCGCCCCTTGCCTGAGGGCCGCGCTCACACTGACGCCTGCAGCACGTCTGCGCTCTGGGCCAGCTGGGCGCCTGGCTGGGTGACGGGATTTGTCTGACCCTCTCCCAGTGACCAACTTCCTGCTCCTGATCACTTCCGACCAAGAAAGGGGCGACTGAGGACAGGCACTTGTGCCCATTTTCAAGAACGACTGCCTTTCTGATGAATCCGATCCAGTGTTCCTGCTCATCCTGCCCCGCCTCTCCTCAGTCCTCCTGCTGACAGCCAAGGAGCCCTCAGCGGTGGAGGGTCAGGACCCCACGCCTCCGATAAGCCAGACTCAGTGCCAGTCCCCTCTGCCTTGGTCTCTGGGGGGCCGTGGGTGCTCCCACTCCCCATGGGCCTCACGCTCACAGCGCTGCTGCCGCCCTTCCTGTGGTCACTGGTGTTAGTGTAGAAAGCAGAGCGCGCTCCTGGGCTCGCGGGCTGGACTTCCATCCCGTTCTGCAAAGGCAGCCTTCCCGGTTTGCTTCTGCTCTTTGTCTTGCTGCTGCTGTGCGGGTAGCAGTCCGAGGCTTCCAGAACCGGTTCCACACAGACGCACAGCGGCCCTGTGTGGGGGACACCAGGCTGGAAGCCAGCACACAGTACAGTGCTTCTTTGCAGACATATGGGGATTGATTTCTAAGCCACACAAAGGCATTAATTTTTGTAAATCATGAGCAATCCATCCCATGGCATTTGAGTAAGTTGGCTTCAATTTGTTTAAATAGAAAATAAACACCCAGCCAAATGCAAACGAGTGCAGATGCAGCCACCATCTTGCCGTCTAGCTGTTGCTTCCGGGAGGTGTCCGCAGAGGGGGAGCTGCGAGCTGGCTCTTGTGTTTATTAAGGGACAGGATCGTGGTTTCAGCTGAACGTCACTCACGAATTGGCAGAGCAGGGGACCCTACAAACCACAAACTGTGCCTGAGGTTAAGAGAGATTCTGTGATTCACTATGAAAAGCTCTCATTGAACCAGGCAGCCAGGAGAACAGCAGGTGACGGGTATTCTAACCCAAAGGGAACAGTCTCTGTTTCGAAGCCCTGGGGGAGCAATGCCTTTCCAGGCAGCACAGCTGGCAGGCCAGCTGAGACTGGGGTGCTGCGACTGCCCCGCAGGGAGCTGAGCAACCCGGCAGGGCTCCAGCGGTGACTGGGCGGACGATCAGGGCTGCCCAAAAGGCATCTAGGGACAGGGGCCTTCCCACACAGGGGTCCCCCGACCCCGCTTAGTGCGCGTCACCTCTCTTAAGGACTAACCTCTGTACCCACCTCGCATCTGAAACGCAGTATGGAACCTCACTACCTGCAGAACCCTGCCAGGGTCCGAAAGTTCCCAGGCGTGCTCGCCAGTGCCCTCTGCTGATAACCGCAAACAGGAGGCACTCACAGGTCTTGGCCACAGTCTCCAAAGAATCCAAAATAGACTGGCTTCTTGAACTGCGATGTTCCTCAGACCTTTCCACCGATGTCTGCAACTAAGAAACCCAAATTAAGGAAAAAATTCACAGATTGTTACTAACTCGGAGAATTGTCAATGATAAAAGTTGTTCATATATTGCTATTCTACATGAAAACATAATGATTAAACTTCTTAAAGTGTAAGATGTTCTAACTCTTCGTAGTGTAGCTGTACTTACCTTGTGAATGCTTTCTCTGACATGGGAAATGCAGCTGTGTAGAGTCTCACTAGAATAGGAGAGAAAGAAGAAAATACATGCTTGTGAAATATTGAAACAGAACTGATTCCATGAAATGGCAGGCATCCACCTGGTGTAGCATCAAACTAGCCCTTGGTCAGAGTTGGAGACCCAACCCCGGGAAACCTCAGTGCCCAGCAGAGGAAGGGAACGTAGACTTTTCATGACCATTTCCAAGGCAAACCACTTTTCTTTTAAAAATTCATTCTATATGTATCTTAAATGAGGTTACATTTTAGCAGCTTCAGTAGTTACCACAGTAGAACAGACAGGCTTTTACAGTTATATGCCCCATAACTACGTTTTAGTCAGTGATGAACTACATGTACATCTGAGGTCCCATTAGACAACGGAGCTGAAAAATTCCTATCACCTAGCTCAGTGGTCGGCAAACCGTGGCTCGTGAGCAACATGCGGCTCTTTGGCCCCTTGAGTATGGCTCTTCCACAAAATACCACATGCGGGTGCGCATGTACAGTGCGATTGATACTTCGTGGCCCATGTGCAGAAGTCGGTATTTTGTGGAAGAGCCACACTCAAGGGGCCAAAGAGCCGCATGTGGCTTGCGAGCCGCAGTTTGCCGACCGCTGACCTAGCTGACTCCTAACTCCTGGACACACCGTAGTCTAATGACTATTATTTTTACTCTAATAGTCAAAATAATAGAATGAGGAAGTAGGGAGACAATTCTGGGAACAATATTCATTTCTTTTTTAAAAAAATATTTTTTTACTGATTTCAGAGAGAAAGAGAGAGAGAGCGATAGAAAGGTCAATGATGAGACAGAATTATTGATCAGCTGCCTCCTGCACGCCCTACACTGGGGATCGGGATGGCAACCCAGGCATGTGCCCTGCCCGGGAATCGAACTGTGACCTCCTGATTCATAGGTCGACGCTCAGTCACTGAGCCATGCCTGCTGGGCAATATTCATTTCTAATGGAAAAGAAATTACCACAATTATTCCTCAAATAAATATCTTGCTTTTCAAAAGATACAGATATGGATTTTCATTTAAACATTTTACAGCTTTTGTTTCTTTAATCTGCATAATACAAATATCAATATCAATTTTCAAACCCCAATAGGACAACCCTTCATACCAAATTTTTTTGTGTTCCACCAGACCGACTTTGAAAGGAGAATTTAATAGAACCATTTGGAAATCTACAAACCATATGTTGTTGTTTTTTTTTATGAAAGAGATTGGTCTATTACCAATATAAAAATATTAAAAATATCTAAAATATATATATAAAAGTAAATTAATCAAGGTGTTAAGAATAGAATGTTATTAAAATACTAGAGGCCTGTGCACAAGATTTGTGCACTTGGCTGGGGTGGGGGGGTGCCGTCCCTCAGCCTGGCCTGTGCCCTCTCGCAGTCCGGGAGCCCTTAGGGGATGTCCGACTGACAGCTTAGCAGGCCTAAGCCATCAGTTGGATATTCTTAGTGCTGCCGCAGAGGCAGGAGAGGCTCCCGCCACTGCCGCTGCGCTTGCCAGCTGTGAGCCCAGCTTCTGGCTGAGCAGCGCTCCCCCTATGGGAGCACACTGACCACCAGGGGGCAGTTCCTGCATTGAGCGTCTGCCCCCTGGTGGTCAGTGCAAGTCATAGTGACCAGTTGTTCTGCCTTTGGGTCAATTTGCATATTAGCCTTTTATTATCTAGGGTAAAAGCAGAGAATTAGGGTACCTAGAAATACAACCAAAATTAAAGAAATACAAGAGTTAGAAACATAATAGAAGTAGAGATAAAAATATGATCGAAATAGTGAAGGAAAGATGATAGAAAATAGAACAAAAGACAAAGAGATGGAAAATAGTTTTTAAAAATTAGAGGATCAATGCAGGAGATCCAACACATACCCCACATTGGAAATACAAAAAGAAAGAAGAGTGAAAATAGAGAGGAGGTTTTTCAGAAATGTAAATAAAAATTCCCAGAACTGAAAGACCTAAGTTTATAGGTCAAAAGGAACTACCCATGCCCAGGAATTATGACATGTCACATTAAAGCAAATTACTGTAAAATTTCAAAACTCTATGGATGATGAGAAGGTCCTAAGGACTTCCAGAAAGAAAAAAGCAAGTGACATACACAGGATCAAGGATCAGAATGGCATCAGATTTTTAAAAGCAACATATAAAGCAACAGGGCAAGGCAGCAATGCTTTAGAAATGCTGAGGAAAAAGAACTTCCAATCTGGAATTTTATATCCAGCCTAATTTGCCATGAACTGTGAGGGGAAAATAAAGAACTTCAGATAGCCCTGGCTGGTTTGGCTCAGTGGATAGAGTGTTGGCCTGAGGACTGAAGGGTCCCAGGTTTGATTCTGATAAAGGGCACATGGGTTGTGGGCTCCATCCCCAGTGGGGGGGCATGCAGGAGTCAGCTGGTCCATGATTCTCTCTCATCATTGATGTTTCTATCTCTATCTCCCTCACCCTTCCTCTCTGAAATCAATTTTTTAAAAAAAAGAACTTCAGATACACAAGTTCTCAAAAATTGTTTAGGTGCCATGTACTGTTGTCAGAGAGTTTCTGAAATATACGCTTCACCAAACCCAAGGGGTAAACCAAGAAAGAAGTGGACATAGACTCCCAGTCAGAGAATCCAACTCAGATAACAGCCGCACCACCGACTGAGAGTCCCAAGTTCATATTAGAATTCGGAAGGATGCCCCTGAAAAGAAAATGACACTGAAAGAATTTCTAATGCATTTAAATATGTAACAAGAAGCTTTTTCAGTTTGGCTGCAGCATTTGGGAATAGACTTATGATTCCTACACAGAAAACGAAGCAAAAAAGAAAAGGCAATTTTGGACATTAGGAAAATGTAATCAGTTTATATAATTTTCCTGGGCCATCTAGAGTGGTTACAGAGTAATAAGGGCATAAAGATTGAAAAGGGAATTAACTAAAAATGTTTCTATAGCTATATTGGATTTTGTTTTTGCCAGAATTTATTAAAATTGTGATTTTTCTGCCTATCATATAAATCAGTATCTTAAGCTTGAACGTTTCCATTTGGTTCACGGGAGAGGGCTCCGGGTGATTAAAAGGATGACTAGTGGTTTCAGGGAGAGGCTCAGGCAAAAGCCAGACACCCAGGGATGCAGAGGGGTCCCTCCTTGGCCTCTGGCTCTAAGGCTCCTGGTCGTGCTAGAGGCCGTTCTTTAAAAAACAAAACTTTATTGTTGGATGTTTTTGTTTCCCCAGAGTCAATGTAAAACGTATAAATAAGTTTCCTGCATACAATGTGCTAGCAGTGCTTGAGGGTGAGCCTTTTGAAGAGATACCCTCCCAGCCCAGCCTGGGGGCCGGCCAGCCTGTGGATAGTCAGGTGATCACCCATCTTCTTGATGAGTTTCACCTCCTCACCCAGGAAGCGCTTCTCCAGGAAGTCAGAGCTGAGGGCCTGTGTGGGTAGAATTCAGGGCCTGCAGCTCCAGCAGGGCCTGGTTTGGGTTCCCTATGACTATGTTGGCTTCTACGGCGTCCTGACTTTTGCCCACTCATCTTGGGGAGGCTTCAGCACGCCCTGGAAGAGAAGGCAGCCACCATGCTGGCTTTGCATCTTTGACATGGGACACCCTCACGCTTCTTCTCTGCCAACTCGCGGAAGTGGCCCACGCCCTCCAGAGCCTTCACGGTGGAAATAGAAGCCCTGAGAGAGGTAGGTGGACACCGCAGAGGCAGGCTGACCAGGCGGCTGACCGCAGCCTCCACCTCGGTGGAATAATTCTGATGAGTTTGGGAGCTCATGGTTGTTGGGCACTAGGGAGTTAAGGTAAAAAAAACAGTACTGGCTGGTCTCAGAGGACGAGGGTGGCTGAGGTGTAGAGACTGGGAAATGTTCATCAACAGAATCAAAGTCTTCAAGGAGAGCATTTTGCTTTCCTAACTAGAGATAGAACACAGTATAACAGATACCTAATCTAGGGATTCTCTTAAAAATTCTGGCTCTTTCAACATCAGAGCACTGGTGGCGCTAAGCAGTGCATCCTCACGCACAGAAGTGATAGTGTCTCTCTGCTTGGGTGTTACGATTCCTGTGATACCTAAAGACGTTGCCTTGGTAATAACTTACTAAGAAATGAACACGTTAATTTCCTCAATGACTTCACTTTATTTAAAAACCAGAGGTCCAGTGCATGAAATTGTGCACGGGTGGGGTCCCTAGGCCTTGCTGGTGATCAGGGCTGATCGGGTTCCTGCCTCCCCTCCTTCTCCTTCCCTCGACACCTGCGTCTGCCGCCACCCACCCCCAGTACCCTGTCCCAGCCTGGGGTCCCAACCCCGATCAGGCGATCGGGGCCTGCCAGCCAGGGGTAGGAACCAGCAGGTTGGCTGGCAGGCCCCATTGGTTATTGGAGTCTGCGGGCTGGGGGCAGCTCCTGCATTGAGCGTCTTTCCCCCGGTGGTCAGTGCACGTCACAGTGACAGGTCGTTCCGTCATAATTGTCGCTTAGACTTTTTCATATATAGAAGATACTGCAACTCTAAATTATTCACGTATTTGTTTTAAAAATCAATAACACTAAAAGGAATATAAAATTTAGGGTAATCTGAAAAAATAGCAACATTTCAAAATAAGAAAATCAGCTTGCACTGTGAACTTAAGAATTCACATGCTATGTTTTGTTTTGTTTTGAAATATATTTTATTGATTTTTCACAGAGAAGAAGGGAGAGGGATAGAGAGTTAGAAACATCGATGAGAGAGGAACATCGATCAGCCGCCTCCTGCACACTTCCTACCGGGGATGTGCCCGCAACCAAGGTACATGCCCTTGACCGGAATTGAACCTGGGACCTTTCAGTCCCCAGGCCGACGCTCTATCCACTGAGCCAAACCGGCTA